TCTCTGTCTCTCTGTCTCTCTCTCTCTGTCTCTCTCTGTCTCTCTCTCTCTCTCTCTGTCTGTGTCTCTCTCTCTCTCTCTCTCTCTCTCTCTCTCTCTATCTCTCTCTCTCTCTCTCTCTCGGTTGGGGACTGAACCCAGAGCCGTGTGCATGCTGAGCAAGTACTCCACCACTGAGCTACACCCCGAGCCTGTGGTTCAAAACCAGAAGGAATTTAGTGAAAAGGAGCTTTCTAACACTATCTTGTTTTCCTCTGAGAATACAACTCCAGCCCATGGCTTATTCTTAATATACAAGAAGATTTCTAAGATATTAAGATTATTTTATAACTAGTACAATCAATTTAAGAGTGGCAAGATATGCCTCTATAGATGTATCTACAAAAGAGCTGGATTGCAATTATGCTAATTATGTGAGCCCATAGAAGAGAGAGACTTAACTCCTAGTTGTACATATGCTGAAGTAGAGGGACAATTCCTGTGATTGTGCCAGTGTCTCTTACTGGAACATTCAGGAAAAGCAAAATAATACTCCAAAATTTGTTAAGCTCAGGCAAGATTGCAGTGTTTCATTATCTAGGTTGATGGAAATTTTTCATTATAAGCAACCTAGTCTTCAAAGGATTGTTTTCCCTTATAGATTAATTTTTAAATATGTATTTTTCTGAGTTATAGGTAGACACAATACCTTTATATATTTTTTTATCTAATTATTTTCATTTTTTTAATTGGTTGTTCCCAACATTACAAAGCTCTTGAGCTTTATTATATTTTTATATGGTGCTGAGGGTTGAACCCAGTGTCTCATGCATGCCAGATAAGCGCTCTACCACTGAGTCACAGCCCCAGCCCTTTAGATTAATTTTTAAAACTTTTTTTTAGTTTGCTTTTTATTTTGGTGGTGCTTGGAACCAGGGCCTTATATGTGCTACCACTGAGCTATACCCCAGCTCGTTTTGTTTTGTTTTATTTTGAGACAGGGTCTTACTAAACTGTCTAGGCTGGCCTGGGATTTGTGATCTTTTATTTTTTTTAAATGCTGAGGATTGCATCCAGGGTTTCTTGAATGCTAATAAGCATGTGCTTTACTACAGAGCTAAACCCCCAGCCTATCTTCCATTTTAGAAAAGATTCTACTTTTAAGATTTCTGTTCCTCAAGAAAGCAGTAGCAGAAATATAACTGGCAAGTTTAAAATGGGAAATTTATAATTCATTAATTTTTGTTGCCAATATTTATTTTTGGAGTATAGATAAAGATATGAAGAATTAGTATAGACAATAGAAACTTGTTTTTCTGTTTTAAGTCAGTTTATCTGAAATGCTGTTTTAGTAGTGATTTATTATTTTTTACCAGAGTGCTGGATATTGAATCCAGGGGTGCTGTAATACTGAGCTACATTCCATGCCCTTTTTATTTTTTGTTTTGAGACACTGTCTTGCTGAGGCTGGCCTTGAACTTGTGATTCTCCTGCCTCAGCCTCCTGGGTAGCTTGGATTACAGGTCTGTGTCATTGTGCACAGCTCAATTTATTTTAACGTGTTATATTTACTTACAGAAACACTAAAGAAAAGGTCTCCTGGTCAAGCTAGCTGATGCTGGGAATGTAGATGGCTTTATTAACAAGAAACTGTGAGACTGAAGTAAAGTATTTTTTGCATAAGTTTTTATCTGTTTGCCTTAGTACATTTCTCTAGGCCTTGTCTACATCAAAATTATTGGAGAATTAAACATAGACTCCTTTGCCCTCTCTGGACCTACTGAATCACAGTATCTCAGGGTGGAGTTTTTAAGAATCTGTTTTTAGGATGCTCCTCTGGGCTGGTCAGATAGCTCAGTGGCAGAGCACTTGCCTAGCATGCATGATGAGTTCCATCCCCAGCAATGCCAACAAGAAATAAGATTCTCTTTTGTTGGTGGGGGTGTGAAGCTGAGCTCTGGAACCACTGCACCATTTATTCTACAGTGTAGTTCTGTGGATATTTATGGGCATATCCTGTTTGCCCTGCCCTCTTCTGGGCATATCATCTGACCTTGCAGAGCCTGTGTTCTATTAGGGCTAAATTGATTTAATGCAAGATTTGGTTGTTTAGGTAACTGTCACTGGTTAGTGGCTTCAATAGAGTTTTATTTTGCTTTCAATTTTGTGGGTCAGGAATTAAGAAAAGTCTGGATTGGGCAGGTCTCACCTGGCGGCGGGTGTCTTTCTCATGTTGCGGGGGCTGCAGTCCTCTGGCTCACCCAGGCTTGTCAGCCAGGTTGTGGGCCACCTACTGACACCTACGTAGCAGGCTTTTTGGCAGAGTGTCTTAGTTCTGTATCAATTCTCCCCAGTGCTGGCTTCATGGAGGAGCAAGGTGGGATCCCCATGAAGGTACACTACTTCTCTTTTGCATTCTAGTGGTTGCAAGTGAGTCACTAGTAACCCAAGGGGAGAGTTACAGATCCTGTTTCCCAGTGAGGTGTAGTGTCAGATAGCTGGAGGGTACATCTTAGTTCCAATGGTTGTGGTTTTGCGTCTTGAAGGTATTGGAGCTATTTTTCGGCATCACTACTTTCTCACTGTTCTGGAGAGCACTGTTCCCAAGAGGGATCATCAGAATAAGGACACAGGTGAAGCATCTCCTTCAGGGTGGCATTATGACACCATGATCATGGGTTTATTCCCTGAGCCTTCTGTGTGTCACAGCTGCCGCCTGGCCCACTTCTGAAAGTTGTAAGCTGAGGAGCCATTGCAAGGCCTCCAGTGTGGCCTGAGAAAGGAGCCAGAGTTGGTGTTCTTCTGGTGCCTGTGTGTATCAGTCTGCTTGCTGCTGCTAATAACACAGGGTCACAGCCTGAGTAAGTTATAAAGAGGGTTATTTTAGTTCAGTCTTCTGGTTTGGATCTTGATTAAGAGGCCATGTCTAGTGATGGCCTTGCTGGTAGAGACTGAGGTAGGGCGGGCATCACCCCCACGTGGTGAGAGACAGGGAGCCCGTGTCTTCCAGTCTCTTCCTTCTCATGAAGCTACCATTCGTCCATCTTGGGGGCTCCACCCATCTAATTAGGTGAGGAGCTCACCTGATTCCAGCCAGTTAGAGTGGCTGCCCATGTACCCCCAGCATTGACAGAGTTCTGTTCCCACGGGACAGTTGACCCATTGGTGTTTCTTTTCTTTTCTGCAGCATCAGGAGAGGGAGGTGGTGATTGAGCACCCCTCTTCAGGAAGCGACTGGTCTGATGTGGATGAGGTCTCCACGGTCAGATTCTCTCAGGAGGAGCCCATCTCGCTGAAGTACTCCGCAGTTCCAGAGCCTTCTTCCTTCCCCACTGATTATGTTATGTACCCCCCTCATTTGTACAGTAGTCCTTGGCGAGACTATGCCAGTTACTGGGCCAGCAGTCTCAAGACTCCTGGCCATCCCTCTGTGGGCAGCAGCCAGGACACGGTGCAGGCTGGGACAAGCAGCCACGGCCTCCTAAGTGATTATCCCCCCACCTCCACAGTGAGCTCCCAGAGCACCTCCAGAGACCTGGAGGCCACGAAAGAAGGCAGATCCCAGAATTCCCGTTCCCTGCGTTTCTCCAGAAGCTCCGTAGAAGAAGTGAAGGAGAAAAGAACATTCCGAGAGGAGTCTCCACCTCGTCCCTGTGGTGGTCAGGCATCTGGCTCTCTGCCACGGAGCCACTGGGAGTCCAGCCTGGAGGAGGGCTTCATAGACACCCACTGCCACTTGGATATGCTGTATTCCAAGTTGTCTTTCAAGGGGACCTTTACAAAGTTCAGAAAGATTTATAGCAGCTCCTTCCCCAAGGAATTTCAGGGTTGCATCTCTGACTTCTGTGACCCTCGGACACTGACGGACTGCCTGTGGGAGGAGCTGCTGAAGGAGGACCTAGTCTGGGGGGCCTTTGGCTGTCACCCCCATTTTGCACGTTACTATAGTGAAAGTCAAGAGAGAAATTTGTTGCAGGCCTTGAGGCACCCCAAGGCTGTGGCCTTTGGGGAAATGGGCTTGGATTACTCTTACAAGTGTACTACACCCGTCCCAGAGCAGCACAAGGTAACCAGGCTGTCTGTGGTCACTTGTTATGTTTGTCTTTATCCCTTTAGCTATTGAGACCTAACAGTGAGGTTTCTCTATTTATAGAACTAACGAATTTATAATTCCTGTCCAGATCTGTGGATGTCATTTGTCAAATACTTTACAAGCCATTTCTTATCTTTCAGCCCTTTTTGAGTCTCTTGTTTTGTGGAAGTGGGGATGGAATCTAGGCACCGAGCTGTGCCCCAGCTCACCAGCATGCTTGGGGACCAGGGAGGAGAGGTGTCTTCCGACTTCTCATGGCTAACAGCAGCATGAACCTTTCCTTCTTGGGAAGCAGCCAACTTTGGGTTTTGTTTTTGTTTTTGTTTTTGTTTTTTAAAGTTAAATATGTTCATTGCAGGATATTTGAAAAGTGCCAAAAAATTATGTGTAAAGATCATTCTCATTCACCCTAAGATTTTGACTTGCATCTGGTCATTCTTTTCCGCCCAGTACTTTTTGAGCATGGTGTTGTGAGGGTGAGACTCGTTGCAGTATTTCAGTGGAAGTTTCTGATTGGGGAGGAGAAAGACTCTCTCTTTTTTTTTTTTTTTTTTAAAAGAGAGAGTGAGAGAGGGGGACAGAGAGAGAGAGAATTTTAACATTTATTTATTTTTTCTTTGTTCTCGGCGGACACAACATCTTTGTTGGTATGTGGTGCTGCTGAGGATCGAACCCGGGCCGCACGCATGCTAGGCGAGCGCGCTACCGCTTGAGCCACATCCCAGCCCCCAGAGAAAGACTCTCTTTTTGTCCCACCTGGTGCCCCAGGTGGAGTTTGTAGCTGGACAGTGTCACTCTCCTGGGATTGTATAGAGGCTTGCTGGGTTGGTCTGGATCCCAGTAGGCTCCAGGACTGGAGTGGAAGGTCCCCCTGTGCAGAATTTGGCTCACCTGCTTCTCCTTCAGTGCTGTCACATCTGGCTCAAAGTGTAATTTATTAGCCAGAATTGAAGACACAAACAGCTAAGGTTGAACACAGGGGAAAATAGATTTTTAGGAAAATGAAACAAATGTTTAATATTCTGCTTTCACAACTGGTGTTTATGGTGCAGGGTGGGGATGATATGGAAAGAGCAGAAGTTCAAGCAGAAACACAGAGGAGTATTATACTGAATAGTATAGCTGATGCTCAGTGGATGCTAACTTGGTGCCAGGAAATGTGATAAGTATTACACAGTACCTTTTTTTTTAATTATAAGGATCAGCAAGTGTGGTGGTGTGTTCCTATGATCCCAGTAAGTAGGAAGCTGAGGCAGGAAGATCACAAGTTCAAGGCCAGCCTCAGCAATTGAGCCAGACCCTGTCTCAAAAAATAAAAAGGACTTGGGGTGAAGCTCAGTGGTAGAGCACCCTAGGTTCAATCCCAGAACCAAAAAAACAATAGCAATAAAACAAACAATTTCTATTATCTAATATTTTCTGGAAGGAGTAGGGGGAGAGAGGAATGCTAAAGAATTGGAGATAAAATGGGTAGTTATGCTGTTAACCAGAGCTAACTACTACTTTTTCCTTGTGTTGTATTCCCACACTTAGCTATCTAAACCTTCAAAGGTAGATCCCAGACAGTTAATGTCTAACTTGTAAGTTGCACACATCAGACAATAGAATTCTTTGGTTCAAAAGCCAGAATGGAGTTTCCTTCCCCTCCCTGATGCACCTGCCTCCATTTGTGCTGGATTGGAATTAATTGTGGAGGTAGCTAGTGTGCAAGCAGTGCCTGAGGCTTCCCCCAGGAGAGATGGGTTAGCTCTCCATCCCTGGAAATAATGGCTCAGTTGGGAAGCAAGAGTTCATGCAGGCCATGGAAGTAATTATGCTGGGTAAATAATTTACCTGCCTTTCATTCACTCTTCTTTGTCATCTGATGAGAACAAATGCTTGTAAAATAGCTCCAGCCACAAGTTCCTGTATGCTAGAGAAAGCTTCCTCCATCTTTAATGTATTTGGATTTTTTTTTTTTTTTTTTGGTACTGGGGATTGAACCCAGGGGCTCTTTACCGCTAATCTATATCCCCAGCCCACCCCCCTTTTTAAAAATTTTTTTAGGTATAGGTGAACACAATATTTTTATGTAGTGCTGAGGATCGAATCCAGTGCCTCACGCATGCTAGGTGAGCGCTCTACTTCTGAGCCACAACCTCAGTCCTTTTTATTTTGAGACAGGGTCTCACCAAGTTGCTGAGGCTGGCCTCAAACTTGTGATCCTCTTGCCTCTGCCTTTTGAGTTGCTGGGATTATAGGCGTTTACCACTATACTGGGCAAAATTTGAATATTTCAAGAAACATTACACATTTAATGTTATTTCCCTTGGAAAGTTGCAAGGGATAGTGGTGGCTTGACTTAAAATACCTATCAAAAATCAAGGAAATGTGTATTACATAGAATGTGCTTTTTTTTTTGTACTGGGCATGGAACCCAGGGATGCTTAACCACTGAGCTGCATTCCCAGCCCTTTTAATATTTTATTTAGAGATAAAGCCTCACTAAGTTGCTGGCTTTGACTTCATGATCCTCCTGAGCTGCTGAGAGTACAGGTGTGTGTCACTGCATCTGGCACTTATATATGCTTTTTAAAAAAAGGAAATTACAAAGGGAATAGTGCTGAGAATCACAGCCGAGTCAGGATGGCACCAGAAGGAGTGGTTAAGAGGTGATGCCAGTGAGCCTTTAAGATGATGATAATTAAGTTATAATTGCTGTGACTGGATGATGCTGGATTGGGACAGGTTGTATATGGACCCCTGCTGTCCGGCAATAGGGTGACTCCAGGAATAAGGTGGTTCCTGCTGCCTCAGGTTCTCCCTCGGGAGAGTTCCTGGAAAGTGTGCGTGGAGTGCTGGTGGAGTTGGTGGAGTGCTGGTGGAGTTCAGGCAATAAAGGAGTTCCTGTTTAAACCTACAAGTGCCTTGAGGCGGCTGGGTTATTTTGTGTCCAGCCAGACTGTGGTAGAATAGTTTTGAATTTCTTTCTAGTTTTAAAAGTTTTGCCATTTCATTTAACTATGCCTTGAAAAATATGCTTTTTGATAGCTATGCAATGTTCCACTGCAAGGTTATAGTTTTTTAGAGGCATCAAGTAGAAGGTGGAATTGGAGTATTTTGAAACCTGCCTCTGAGGGTTCAGGGAGGGGAAGATGAACAGGCAGCAAATGTATCTGGGCCACACCTGTAGTTGCTACCTGCTCTTTAAAACCCCTACTGAGCTTTCTAAAATTCTGGTGTCTGTGGTCATTTTCCTTTAGTTGAAAACACAGGTCAAACTAAGGGTGCATCAGAGTTAGTATTGGCTAGTGTCACTATTGTAGGAAGAGGTGGCATGAGAAATAGACTTGTAAATGTCATTTTCTGGTCGCTATCACTTGACTCTTGTTACCAAAAATGTCTTCGTATTCACTGCTAAAAATGCAAACATGAATTATATTCTACAGTTGAAAAAACTGCTCATGGATGCATTAGGTTTCAGATGTGATGATTTGCTCATAATTAATACTTGTGTTCTTAATCAACCTGGTCTTGTTACAGGACAGAACATTACATTGTCAACAACATGTGCATTTTACTAGCAAGGATTTAAAAGTGGCTAGAGTTAAAAAGAATGGAGTGGCTGGGCAAGATGACGCATACCTGTAATCCCAGGGGCTCAGGAGGCTGAGACAGGAGGATTGCCGAGTTCAAAGTCAGCCTCAGGCACTAAGCAACTCAGTGAGACCCTGTCTCTAAATAAAATACAAAATAGGGCTGTGGATGTTGCTCAGTGGTTGAATGCCCCTGAGTTGAATTCCCAGCCCCCCCCCCCGCCCCCCCAAAAAAGAATGGGAGTGGCTGTGTAGGTATTGACCTAGAAGGGTATCCAGCTTGGGTCAAGCACAGGAGGCAAGCTGTAGTAAATAGTGTTTATTTTTTTGAGAACCACCAGGCATTATGCTGGAGGGCACATGGGTGTACAGCCCTTTTGCATAGGGAAAGGTTTGAAAGTTGGTACCTTCTTGGTAGTAGAGGTGGGCACAGCCATGTGCAGGACTTTAACTTTGCCCTTTATGTTCTCCATCCCTGTCTCTATATCCTAAGTAAGCCTTGTGAGCAGTGACTGGGCACCTGCTTCCCTGTTGGTACTCTGGCACTACAGCTTCTGGCTGCCTGTCACTTGCCTTCCCCACCTGCTGGGCTCTTGCAGCGCCTCCTGTAGGAGCTTGTGTATACTGCAGGTGCTTGGAGCACTCCCTAGCTCTATAGAAAAAACCCAGTATGTGTCTGATTGTCACTCTATTACATCATTTGAAAATAGAGAATTGGGGGCCACAGGGGTTCAAGAAGCAGTGGGCTCTGAAGTGCTACTAAGCGGCTGGTGTTTGTCCCTTTGTCTCCTCCTAGGTATTTGAGAGACAGCTGCAGCTGGCCGTGTCTCTAAAGAAGCCCTTGGTCATTCACTGTCGAGAAGCTGATGAAGATTTGTTGGACATCATGAAAAAATTTGTACCTTCTGACTACAAGATCCATAGGTCAGGAGGCTGCTGCTTCAGCGGGACATGAGGCTCTTCCCTGTCTGGGACATTAGTTGGAAAGAGGAGAGCTCAATGAGGAACACAGTGGTCGTGTGTCTTTTCTTTCTTTTTGAGGCCCCTTTGGGATCTGAACCCATATTTTGTCTTATTCAGCATGTTTCCTGAGGAGTCAAGTATTAAGTTGAACCATGTGAAGTTTCTGAGGATTGAGAAACTTGCTTGTTTTTTGCTCACAGTGACTTCATTTGGCCTTTGGTTTGGGCTAATACCCAGAAACTGCCAGTGGGCAGAAAGGGGATTTCAGTTCTCAGAAACAAGGACCACTGACCCTAGGAGAGGCTGTGGTAGGGTCCAGCACATGGCACTCTGGGGCACCAGAAAAGATGCTACTTTCCTGTATTGAATTTGAAAACTCCTCCCTCCACAGTTAGCATTAAAGTCCCAGGGTGTGTTTTATCTGAATGGCATCTTTAAGTTCTTCAGCTCAGTTTGGTAAGCTGCCTTGAACTCCTACCACCTGTGTGTACTAGTGGTGGCCTGGCTCAGGGATGCCCCAGGGGAGCTGCCCAGATATACCTGGGTCACTTTGGGCTTTTGTATGTTGAGAGTGGACTGAGCTGGGCTGTGCACAGTTGGGCCTTTATTTTGCCATGGATGGGATGGTCAGGAGGTGACGCCTGAGCTGTTTTTTTTTTTTTTTTTGTACTTGGGATTCATCCAGGGGTACTTAACCACTGAACCACTTCCCCAGCACTTTTCTTTAATTTTATTCTGAGGCACAGTCTGGCTGAGTTGCTTAGAGTTTTGCTTAGTTGCTGAGGTTGGCTTTGAACCTAGGATCCTACTGCCTCTGAGCTTAATGATGGGCAAGAATGGAGTCCAGAGCCTAGAAGAGGCCTTCTCAAAGCAGAAGAGCAGGTGGGAATTTCAGGCCTCAGCTGCGTTTTGGGTGCCTAAGGAGACAGAGCAGGTGGCGCACCCCAGAAGAGGGACATAGGCCCTCGGATCTTATGAACTGGTTGGATTTTCATTGCCTCTTTTTGGGCTGACTTTAAGGGAATGTGAGTGGTGGTAGGCACACCAGGGCTAATTCAGCCCAACGGGGTATTGCTGGAGGAAGCCCTGAATTTTTACGTATGTTGCACTAGGAGCATTAAACAGCTGTACGTTTAGAGAAGAAAATTCACCTATGGCCCATTCTCCAGTGTGTTCATAGTTCAACAGTAGGCCTCACTGTTACGTACTTGGGAGGACTGGTTTTAATTCTTTAGGTTCCTTTGTGCTGCTGCTGTGTGTTCACAGTGGTGGTTTTAAGTGGGTTTTTTGTGCAGTAGGAGAGGGGCTCGTGAGCACCACTCCCCCAGTGGCAGCTTAGGTCTGGTGGTGTTGGAACCCCCTCTTGTGTGTGTACTTACTGTGGCATTCTTCCCTTGGATGCAGCCTCTCCATTTCTGGGACTCCTAAAGGGGGTGACCAGCTTTAGGGTTGCTGCCAAGGGCACTAGGGCCAAGCCCTGACCTAGAGCTCTCCCCACAGGCATTGTTTCACCGGCAGCTATCCGGTCATTGAGCCCCTGTTGAAGTACTTCCCCAACATGTCAGTGGGCTTCACGGCAGTCCTGACCTACTCCTCCGCCTGGGAGGCCCGGGACGCTCTGAAACAGATTCCACTGGAGAGAATCATTGTGGAAACGGATGCCCCTTACTTCCTGCCTCGCCAGGTAGGGGTGTTTTCAGGCTGAGTCGAGGCACTGAAGAGAGAGGGTGGGGAGGGTGGTGGTCGTCCATTAGGGTTGGCAGGGCCAGAGCCCCAGTGACTTCCAGGCCCCACCCTGGGCTGTGTAGATGTTTCCTTGTTGCTCTGCAGAACCGAAAGTCAAGGGGGCTGAGAAGCTGAAGGGTAACCGCTCTCTTCCAGGCAGTGCAAAGCCCTACCCTGTAGAGGGCAGTCCACGGAAGCGTGGGACCCTGCTCACCCAGAGCCCCCCTGACTAGGACTCTCCCTGCACCTGCAGGTAAAGGGGTCTCTGCAGGGCAGCCCCGAAGAGGTCCTTGCTGGGGAAGGGACGGGAGGGAGTCCTACGTTCCGCCTGTGCACAGAAAGCACAGCGATGTTCTGAATGTTTGGTGTCTTCCAGGTTCCCAAGAGCCTTTGCCAATACGCCCACCCGGGCCTGGCCCTGCACACGGTCCGAGAGATTGCCAGGGTCAAAGACGAGCCGCTCTCCCGCACACTGGCCACCTTGCGTGAGAACACCAGCCGCCTCTACAACCTCTGAGCAAGGAGGGTGCCCTCAGGAGTCGCCCAGGAAAGGTCATGAGATTCACATGATGTGCTCTGTAAAAATCAGGAGAAGAAGGTCTTTGGCTGCCTTATCTTAACCTAGACAATGTGAACACGTGAGTTTGATGCCTGACTTGTGCTTAATGAACTTGGCCTGGAACCGTCTTCCTTCTCTCTTCCAGACCCTGCAGGGTGACCAGTGGTCCCTCAGAACATTGGCTGACCTCCAGCCCCACCTGTGTCCTGGGTCAAGGATGTATCTGCGGAGCCCACTGGGACAGAGGGAACCAGGACAGGCTATCTGCTTGCGACCTCGCCTCAAGGCTTCAGCTTCTGGCTGGCGGATGGGTGGCCGCGGAGGGTAGGTGCTGCGGGAACAGCATCTGGGCTCTGCCTGCCAGCCAGGGTGCTCCAGGGCAGTTGGCAAGAGCAGAGTGTGACTGAGGGTCTAGAGTGTGCCAGTTTGGGTCTCTGTTCCCTGCAGCCTGTGTTTTAAGCAGTGTGTGAATAAAGTCGCCTCCTGCTCGCCGCAGCACACGTGGGCGTGCAGCTGGGCCCCTGCTTCTCAGTTATGGAAATGGACTCCCATGTGGGAAATGTCTCGGGAAAACTCACTGCTCCGAGGTTTGTTTCTGGGAACCAGCAAGGTTGCACCCTTCCCTGGATAGCTCTCGCGTTTGCCTTTCACTGTTTCTTTGTCGACTCCAGTGTGGGCACAAGTGGGAGGATTGTGGCCGCGCTCCAGTTCCACCATACAAGTATGGAGGGATGCAGTGGGCGCTCGTTGTCCATGGGAAGTGCTGGCTGGCAGAGGTGCAGGGCAGACTGGGGCACTGAGGAAGGTGTCCCCACTTGCGGAAGCCCCAGGGCTGCTGCTTGGTGTGGTAAAGGGTTAGGGTTAAGTCTGCAGCGTGAGGTCCCTGCCAACTGGGTGCTAAGGGCCCAGCTGCCCCTGCTCCCTCTGGATTGCTTGGCCACGCAGCTACCCATCGAGGGCCCACCCAGGTGGACAGCTGAATTCATACAGGTCTTGGGGCTCCCTGGGGTGGTGCAGCATGAGCAGGCTTGTGTCTCTCCCAGTGTCCCTTGCCTTTGCCGCCTCTGCTGTGTGTGTGTTTTAGGAGAGGGCCTTCTGTTGGACTTGGAGCAGCCGAGTCATCTCAAGTTCAGAGCTCTGCTCTGCTCTCTGCTGTGCCTTGGAAAGGTGTGTGCCTCACAGGCCCCAGAGGTTATGATGGCCAGAGGTCAAGTGTGAGTGGACTCCTGAGCTTTGTTCAAAAGGGTCCTCACCCTTATCTGCAGTTTATTGGAAGCTTACATCGTACAAGCAGTTCCTTACTGTGGATTCCTCTAGGTGTTTCTCGAAGGCATATCTGAAACCTGTAAGCTGAAGGGGATGGATTTACTATTTCCTTTGTGCAATGTGTACCGTGCCCCCGCAACACAGTAGCTGGCCTGGGAAGCAGGCCTCGGTGTCCATCTCCTCTGTGTTTTTGTGCCTCAAAGTTGCCAGTGTGGGGAAATTGGGGGGCCTTAGTTGCTTGTTGGAAATATTTAGGGGGCTGCCAAGTCTATCAGAATGCTTTACTATCACCCAGGTGAACAGCAGCATAGCCACGTCCTTCAAGGACTACCCCTGTAAGTCAGCACTGCCTGCCTGTGAGGCGGGCTGTGTGATGTCTCTGAACTCAGTCCCCTGCAGGGGAAGAGCACAGGATGCTGTCTGCCCGCTTTTTCCCAGGACTTGGGACTGTTGTGTACGCGAGTCACACGGTGAAACCTTATCTCTGTGGGGCTGGCGGCGGTTTGGCCTTGTGTTAGGTTCTGTTGGTTGGTGGCTGGCTTGATGGCTCTTACTTGCTGCCAGGGTGCCTCTGTGCCTCCCTTACTTCGCCATTTCTTTCTGGAATAAAGTGGCGGATCCTCTCTCCAAGTCCCGTTTGTCCACGTCTGTCCAGAGTTCTCTGAGTGATGCAGAGATTAGCCCAGTGTTGGCCGGCTTTGTGACCTGGGCATCTGATGTTGGGAGACATTCCAAGTCCGTGCGTGCCTCGCTGTAAAATTAAACTGGATGTGAGAACAGGTTGTGACTTCCTAGCAGTGCAGAGGACATAGTTGACGTTCCCCACTTGAAGGAGAGCAGTGGAGGAGGGAAACTCCAGGACGGGGGTGTGATGAGGTGGTCTCTCCAGTGCTTTTGGTGGAAAGCTGGAGGAACTTCTCTTTTAGTGTTGGCAGGCAGTTGGATGAAGGTGTTGCTGATGGGCTTTGTTGTTTGGGTGCTGGGATTGGCCCAGGGCCTGGCATCTGCCAGGCCAGTGCTGTGCCTGGAGCTGCACCCCAACCCCCGTTCCTGGTGCTCCTGGACGTAGCTCGTGGCTAGGAGGGAAGGCTACTCGTGCAGAGGAAGGCTCCCCAGCAGTGCTCCAGGGAGGCCGGGCCCGTGCTCCAGCCGCACCTCACAAATCGTCCATAATGTGTTTCCAGCATGTTCTGTGACTTTGAATCTGTTCCTTCTCGGTCAGACATGTTCGGCTATCTGCTCAGTGCTGGTCTGCCTGGGGCTCTCCTGGTGTGTCCATCTTCCTTTAAGGGGTGGGTTTGGGGTTGATGCTGATCATTTACTGTTGCCACTATGTTTTTTTTCGCATCATTTATTTTTTATTTTTTCCACAATATCTTATTTTTATGTGGTGCTGAGGATTGAACCCAGTGCCTCACACGTTTGAGGCGGGCACTCTACCACTGAGCTACAATCCCAGCCCCTCGTATCATTTATTTGTATTAAATAAGGACGAATGGCCAAGGGGTTGTGCAGCGATGGAACAGCAGCCCCACTGGTCCCTGTCAGTGCTCCTCAATGTGGTTTAATGAGGGTGTGGGTTCAGAAAGATTGCCTAGTGTGGGTGCCTCACCTCTGTTGGTGCATGGTCATGGGAGAGGCTCGCACACCTGTCAGCGTGTGGTAAGTTGAATATATGCCCTGTTGTACTGATCACAAAATAAGAAACATTTTTTTTTCTTCATACTGGGGATTGAACCCAGGGGTGCTTAATCTCAGCCCCACTTTCCCAGCTCTTTCTTTTTTTATTTTCAGACAGGGTCTTGCTGAGTTGCTAAGGCCGGCTTTGTAGTTGCCATCCTCCTGCATCAGCCTCCCCAGTTGCTGGGATTACAGGCATGTGCTACCACACCTGACAAGAAATTTTTTCACATGGATATTTTTTTTTTCTTGAGCACATAGTCTTGCTCACCCTAGGGGTACTTACACCCCACTTCAGAGACCCTTAAGTTGATAGTATCATTAAATAATGCATGAAGAACTGGGCATGGTGGTGCACACCTGTAATCTCAGTGACTCTGGATCCTGGGGAAGGAGGATCTGAAGTTTGAGGCTAGCCTCAGTAACTTAGAAATTGTCTGAGAATTTTAAAAAAGGGCTGGAGGTGAGGCTCAGTAGTAGAGCACCCCTGGGTTCAATTCTCAGTACCAAAAAAAAAAAAAAAGAAAAAAAATCCCATGAGGTGTGTTTAAGAAAACTAACATAGGAACAGGATAGGAACAGGGTTAGAGTGATACCAGCAGCAGGACCAGGAAGCAACGCTGACTGGGAATCGGAGGAGTCAGATGGGAAGAACTTGCACCTGAGAGGCTGCTGTAGGTGCCTTGTGGCCTTGGGAAGATCACTGTGTTCTCCAAACTTTCAGCCTAACCAAAGAGGCTGGCTGTGAAGGTGAACTGAGATCACGCTGATCTGCGCAGACATGAGAGTGGTGCCTGGTGCAGGGCAGGGCAAGTCAGTGGTGGCTGCTGGGGTCACTGAGTGCCTCCTCTGTGCCTGAGCCTTTGCCAGGTACCCTGTGGTGTTCACTGTGTAGGTCTGGATCTTGGGGCTGGTCCTTCTGTTCTGGCCGAGTCCAAAGCCCCCAGCTTTGCATCACCTGGGGCCTCCTGGCCCTGCCGAGAGGCCCAAGTCTGGGTGCAACTGAGTGAGCTGGAATGTGGGGGAGGCAGAGGCAAGGTCTTGGCTTTGCAGGGGCAGGGGAATATCGGGTGGCCAGCAGTCCTCCCAAGGCTGGGTCCCCACCTCCACCCTCATCCAAGCCCAGTCACTGTGTGGTTTTTCACCAGGTCAGTTGATTTCCTGGGCTACTTGGACCGTACTGGGGCCACATCAGGGAGGGCTACGGGCAAGATCGGGGCTGTCTGGCTTAGTGTGTCAGTGCTCAGATGCCCTGTGGGGGGGGGGGAGGCCCTTCTCTCCACTCCACTCCACTCCAGCTGCTTCCTGCCCTTCCCTCCACTTCTGCTTCTTCCTGCCCTCTTGCCACCTTGCTGACTCCCTAGTCCCTTCAACTGCTTATGACAATCATGTTTGTTACTAAGGCTGAGACAGATGCTTTTGGGAGAAGGACAGTGACGGAAACCACTGGTTGTCGCCGGGTCAGGCACCTAGGTACTTGTCCTGGAGATGGGAGGGTGTATGTGTGTGTTTCTGCCTAGGGGACAGAAACAGGACTGGGGCAGGAGAGATGGGGGAAGGTGGAAACAGGACATCTTTTTTGGTGTGTGCTGGCCTTGTTGCGGGCTTACTGGCCAGGTGTGTGTCCGTCGTGGTAGCTGCTGTCCTGTGTGCAGGCCGCCTGGCGCTGTGTGGGGACAGGATCCGCGTGCCTCTAGGCTGTGTTGTGTCAGCACTTGGATGGGCTGGGAGGTGCTGGAGGTGCTGGAGCCCTAGGTTCCTGGGCCTTCACAGATAGGAGGGATGAGGACGCATGGACCACATGGTTCCTCAGTGGGGGTGGCAGTTGGATTGCAGAGTGAGGGCCTGCCCTGTCTGCCAGTGGCCATGGCATTGGCTCTGGGATGGCCGGGGTGTTCTTGGAGCAGGACATGGCCCCTAAGCCCTCTGTCATAGTTTTGCAGGGTGTGCATGTCACCCCCACCTGGTCTCTGCAGAGTGCCCTGGGGCTCATTCGCCTGCATTGGGAGTTTGGAAGGGTCTTGTCTCCCTCCCTCATATGGCCCATTTATTGTCGCCAGCACTGGGAAATCAGCCCTCAGATGCTCATGAATGTGAACGTGACCGATGGTGAGGTTCCTCCTGGGGATAGTAGGGTCTTGAGTGGAAGAGGTGGGATCGAAGGGTTGGGGCTCATCTCTGCTGTGAGCTGGACTTGGGGCAGTGTTTGGTGGTAGCTACCTGGTGCCAGTGACATAAGCCAAGTGATGGCCAGCCATGCCCAGACCTTGGTCCAAGAATGGGGAGGAAGGAGGGGAGGTCAGTCCAGCCCAGTCTGGCAGGCCTGAGAGGCGTTAAGCACCTCCTTGATATCTAACTTCAGGTATATTTTGGAATTTTCTCATGGTCCTGTTTTAATCGCCGTGACTGATCTGGAATGGGAGTCGACTCGCGCTGTCTCCTAAGGCTTGTATGTTCATAAAGACATTGCTGGTTGCTGATCAGAATTGCTGGTTGCTGATCAGCTCCAGTGCAGCTTTGAAGCCTCGTGGAGGCGCGAGGCCCTGTCCCCCTCTTCCCCCTGTTCCTCTTCTTCTAGGACCCCGTCACACACTCCTCCAGTTAACCTGCTTGAAGGGGCAGGTTTAATTTGGGTTTCTGGGCATTGGTGTGTTCTTTTCTCTTCCCATTGACCGTGGACTAAGATTTTTTTTCTAATAAGATATGAAATTTTCTTTCTTTGTGTGTGAAATAAATCCTGCTTTTGAACATTTGGCATAAGTGAAGTGTGAGGTTTTATTCACTCAAACCTAGTACAGGAGGACTGGGGGTCGTTGCAGATGCAATCTGAATGCCAGATTGGGAGGAAAGCTAAGAGCAGGCCCATCTTGGAGGTGGTCACTGGTCAGCCAGGGCCTCTGAAAAGCAAGAGGTTGGGTCACAATTCCAGGCTACCCTCCTGCTGGCCTTCTACAGTGTGATGGGGGAGGTGACATGTGGTGACGGGGATGGGGAGCATTTGTCCTTGGAGTTGGGAGGTGGTGTTGGAGTGTGGAGTGTGATGCTGGGCAAGTCTCCTGTTGGGGTTCTGGTCTCTGCAGCAGGGTGAGCACCCGCTGCCTACATCATGTTGGGGTGCATGTTTGTGAGGAAGGAGTGTGGCAGATTGTCCCCTTAGGGACAAGCTGGGGTCTTTTAACAGATACTTGGGGATTCAGAATGAATCCAGAATCCTTTGCGTATCTGGCTGTGGAGCCTCTTCTGAAGGCAGCTGAGGCTCCAATTCCCATGTGATGTGCAGTTTCATGGGCAAGATGCTGTCACACCAGGTGGTTGTATGCACTCATGATGGGCTCTGGAGCCACTTTAAGAAGTCTAGGCTCCCCTGGGCCCTAGAGCTGGCTAAGGTGCCAGTGCTTGGAACATGGTGTTCTTTGACAAAGGCTTTGAGCTCACCCTGCTCCGTGTGGCTCTTCAGGACCAGCCTGGCTGCTTCCTTCAGGGATTTGGGGAAGCTGTTGGAGGGGCAGAGTTGGGGAAGGAGGTGTCTTGTGTCACCCAGCTGGCAGGCTCTGGCCAGCTCAGCTCCCATTTAGGATTTCATGGCAAAGGGATTAACCTGACCCAGAAAAAGACTCACCTTTGGCCTCTTCCCAAAGGATGTCCTGAAGAAACTTCCTCAGGGCCCGGCTGTGCTGCTGGTACTGAGCCCCAAACAGCTTGATTGCCATGTCAAAGGGAGCATTGAACTGGGGATAGAGAAGGGACGTCAGGATCTCGCCCGCCCCTCTTCCCAGCATGTCCCCTCACTGGAGGAGGCTGGGTTCTCCTGACTGCTATCTTGAGGACGTTCACCAGCCTCTCTTATGTATCCTGGCCCTAGCCTCAAGGGGGTATCCTAGAATGTGTTCCCACCCCCTTATAATTTGGGCAAGATTGAATCACTGGTGGTGGTCACGTTTCAGGCCTGTGGGGAGGTTTGGGGGGCAGGGTGTTCCCAGCATGTAGGCCACTAACCTGGCTGAGGTTCTGGCCCCACCTTTCTCTTTGCTTCCTTGTGCTTCCTCCTGCTCCTCCCTCAGGCCCAGGGAATGAAACTGGCCCCTGACTTTTTCCCAGAAAGATGCTCCAGGCCAGATCTTTTCTTCTTAGGAGGAGACTGTCCTCCTTCCCTGTTTCCAAGCCATCTTCTGGGATGGTTTACTGGGGCTCACACCCTCCGGGGTAGATGGGAATGAGCTACTTTTGTGGCTATATCGTAGATCTCTCTGGAGAGCAGGCATGGTACCTTTCTCTTTGCTGGTGGTCACCTTGGTGCCTGGCTGTGGTGGTCACCCAGTGTCTGAATGGGTGGGTGATGGAATCTTAGTGCTGGAAGGGAGCCCGGGCTAGTCCTCACAGCAGGAGCCCAGAGAGGCTGAAGAGCCTGCCTGAGGCCACAGAGGCAGATGAGGGCAAGGACTAGAGCCAGACCTAAGACCCACCCAGGCTTGAGTCCACACCAGGTGGGCTCAGGTTCCCGTGTGGAAAGAGGCTCTGGGAGTGGCCACGGGGAATGGCTGCCCCTTCCCTCTGCAGATTTGGTCTCACTGCAAAGCTGAGTGGGGTGCAGGGCTGGTTTCTTTAGGGACTGGGGTCTTCAGGTCCCTCCTGTCCCTCCTGCTGATAGACCAATTTTTTTCTACCCCTGTGACCACTATGTATGGTCAGGTCACCTTGCAGTCCTCTTGGGAATCGAGGGGTGCTGATTGTGGGATGCCAGGCTGCTGTGACATCGGGATGGTGTAGTAGGGGCAGGTGTGAGGTGGACTGGCTGCATGAGACCTGCGATAGCCCCTCAGTGTTGGTCCTGGTTGTCTGTCTGTCCAGTGAAGGCGAGGCTTGGTCACAGAGGTCTGAAACCCGATTCCAGGGGGAAGGGCAGTGCCCAGAGGGAGGCCCAGTCAGGCACACCCAGGGCCACCCAAGGCCACCCGGGGCCAGCAGCTGCTCTGGGCTGCCCCAGCCCCCTCTGGGCATTCCTAGCTTGGGCTCTAGTTGAGGTAGGTCTTTCTTCCAAGGCCATGTTCATGTCATTCTGGACCCTGTCCCCCTCTGCACCAAGGCAGAGAGCTCCGCTGACTGGATGGCTGTCTCCCAGCTGGGGCTGGCTAAGCCACAGGAATGGTTCCTGGGCTTGGCTGAAGGATTCACGCCATTCCCTTAGGAGCCTCTGGGGCTGAGAATATGCCTGGGTCCTAGTGAGGAGCAGAGCGGGGTTTGGAGAGCTTGAGGTTGTCATTGGCCCTTGACCAGAGAGAAGGGTAGGAACAGGTAAAGGAGGCTGAGGGGAGGACTCGCGTCCTTGTTTCTCAGGTCGCAGAGGCCACTTCTAGGCCATCGTGCTCCCTGTGTGGTCACCAGATCCAGGAGGAGGAAGAGAGGCTGCACCCAGTCCTGACCTTGGGCTCCATCTCTGCCACGTTGGCCCTGGCACCTTGGGCAATCACCTCTCTGAACTTCTGCTTCCTGTCTGCATAGTGTGGATTTTAGTGTCACCTTGCTTACTCCACAGGTTGTGGTAGAGAATAAATGGAATGGAATGAGGGAGACCATGGCTGGGGTGCAGCTTCGGGGGTAGACCCCTGGCCTGGCATGTGTGGGGTCCTGGGCTGGATCCCAACATCACAAAAAAATAGAACAGTTGTTGGAGGAGATCACAGCTCGAGGCATAGCTGTACGGTAACTGCCATCAGGAAGTACCCCAGAAGAATCCCAGGGTAGCTCCAGAGGGGTATCCCCCTGGGCACGGACCCCCAGCCAGCCTGGGGAGGTTGCACCAACTGGCCCTGTAAAATCCCCTTCTCCCTCCTCGCCTGGAACTGTCTCAGGTCTTCCTTCTCTGTGCAAGATATGTGAGAGCAAAGACCAGCCCGCCCTGCTCCGTCCTTTCTTCAAGTGAGGTCAGTGCCAGAGCCTGAGCTGGCAGCCAGCTCCCCTGACCAGGGTTCTGTCTGGAGCACTCCTGCCCACAGCTCTTACTCCTGGTGCCTTGGCTCTGTGCTCACCAGCTGCCTCTGCAGCCTGCAGACCTCCAGCACCTTCTCTCTGCGGTTGGGGCGGGGCGGGCTCCTCACGTTCCCACACTCTTGTACAGGTACTTGGTGACAATATTCTCTGACCAAAAACCTTGTGGAGCCCAGTGCAAAGCTCAGCTATCTCAGTGCTGATTTAGAGTTATAATTTATAATCAATCCTCGAGCCCCTGTTCTTAGCTACCTGTTCCTATCCTGGCCTCTTCCCCTGCTTCACAGCCACAGATGCATAAAATGCAGAACCACCAACCCGGATCTCCAGCTCGTCCTCTGCGCCATCCGCCTGGTCTGTGTCCTCTTGGTGGAGCCAGCCATCGATAGCTCTGGGCTGCAGTTTGGCTGGTGGCTTCTTGGACTCTTTTCTTTGCTGAAGAGGAGAGTGTTCTCTTTGGGTCCTGAGCCCCCT